ATCGTGCGTCGTCTGTGGCGTGGCTTCCGATTCAGATAATGATGGTTGCTTCGGCGGACTGCTGTTGGATGATGTTGGAGGTGAAAGTGTGTTGATTATTGGATCTGATAATGCAGTAGCTGATGGACTGATGCTGGTAGGGGAAGCGGGTTCTTTTACTTTGGGCTGAGGACTTGGCGACTGAAATGTACAAAGCGACAACACCTCAAAATAACGTTCCTAATTTTGTCCCAGAAAACGTAGAATAGGCCACATTGTCAACTTTGGCACAAAGAAATATTGATATACAAGAGATAAAAAAAAATAGATTTATTTAGCAAATGTACGACTTGGCGTTACCTTATCTGCCGCTGACGGCTGGTCATTTTCAGTCACAGGAGAAAGCCTAAAGACACAAATATAACAAATGAAAGAATTGTTGAAAAAACAAAAATACTTTTACTTAGGTGTTGATAAAAAATTTTGACTCAAAATAAATAATTAATATATATCTTGCGTGACTCATTCCCTCATATAATAATACTGTCCCATTCTACACTAACTACGACGAGGCAATAGGACTCAAATACATAGTGTAAGATAAACCCACATTTGTGTTTTTTAGTAGCGTTTGATACTTAACTTACACAACCAGGGGAAAAATAGTTAGACACACACACCATGAATGTGCTAACCACTGGCAACCAAATCTGAAAATATTCAGTGCAAAAAATCAACATTATGACGGCACATACTTAGCGGAGGTGTCAGGTGCAGTAACGCTTTTTATCTGTGGCTCAAGTTCAACTGATGACTCTTCTTTTGTACTTTCATCCTCGCTGTCAGCATCTAAATATACCACAAAATTTCAAAACAATTAACAATTGCCAAAAGGAACATTTAGTGAAAAAGAATTCTTAACCTCTAGCGGTTCCACGTTTGCCTGAAGAGGCGTTCAGACCGCCTACTTACCAAGCACTTCGTCGCTATCATCGAGTTCGTAACTGCTATAATCGTCAGCATCACGAGCCACCGCTTCTTCAATATCACTGTCATCACCTGTTATGTCCATAACAGCTGCAGTTATCTGCACCTCTGACTCAGATTCATTTGCATCCTCTTCCGGTTCAGTGCTGAGATTCACTAAAAGATTTACAAAAATTCACAAGGGTCAGGCTGTTTGATAAGTCTCTAACAATTTAAGTTAAAGTACATCGTTGACGTGCGTATTCATTATTTTTTTCCCTTGCTTCACGTTCACACCGTTCAGGGACTGCAACTATTCGCTATTTCAAACTTTGAGTTCTGTAATATGCTTACTTTCATGTGGAATAAAAATAACAATAATAATAATCATCATCATCATCATCATCATCATCGAAATCATAATAGAGTACCCCACGCCCTCAGTGACTGGAGAGTGAGTGTTGCCCGCTACCTTGAGTGTCCTGTTGTGAAGCAGCAGTCCTTAACAACGTTGTCTGTTGATCACTACTGACTTCCATAGCACCAGTCTCTGTTATCACGTGACTGGGTAAAGCGTCGGTTGTGTCTTCAAATGAAACACCGGTGGGGTTATATTCAGCCTGCTTAGCTGGGCTGAAACACATGATAAACAAATTAACAGTCATCACGGGACTTGTAATGTGTATCTTAAAAGGACGACAATTGAAGGTAAAGATGATGGCTGACTCCACATCAAGACCCCGAGTAAACTAAAACTCAATGCATAACTATTATTATTCATCCATTCAAGCGCACATGAAAATAAAAGTTTCAAGGCTGGAAGCTTCAGAACGAGTGCACAGAGATAACAAGATCACTAAGACACTTTGGCCGAAAATATATTCACGCACTCACTGCTTAGCGCTCTCTTTAGGTATTTAGCGATTTTGCTTACATGGAGATCATTAAAACTTAACTTCTCTCCAGCTGCTGCAAAAGTAATCATATCAATGAAAGGTTTGTTACCTTGAGGGAGAGGCCGCTGCACTTTCACAAGCAAATCTAAGGGCAAAAAAATAAACATTTAAACCATGTGCACGTACAAGGACGAACGTACAAATAAATTGAATAAAAGAGATTAGTGTCGCGCTCATCAAGGCCACTGTAAGTAACTGAAGAGTGTTTTTTTTCTTTTTCTTTTTGGCGATCTCACCTTATACGTCTGCTTGGTGTGGCACTTTCCTCCCTCTCTGTGATGGCACTTGCTCCTGAAAGATAATACGTGCATTACTGGTTCAAGCTGCCTTTTCAGACACTAAGGATTGAAACTGAGACTAACTCTGTACATACCGTGAGATTCCGCCGCAGGTCTCGACAGCTGGTCGGAGGAACCATGTCTGGTGGTTGGAGGAGATGATGAAGGAGACTGCTGGGGCGAAGTTCGCCTGATCACTCGAGTAATCTGCAATATATTAAAACAAAATGAATAAACATAATCCTTGATTCTGGGAGACAGAAAAGGTAATATCCACGCTTCACGCCCGCTTCGCACTTTCCTTCGTTCGCCTAAAAACGAGAAAATAACGCCTGTTCTGCAGGATTAGAAGCTAGCGAAAGGAGGCACTTCTGAATTATGTTCCTTCCAGGGATTCTTTAACAAGTACGTAAACGCTTAATAAATATTGATCCATTAAGTAAATTACTTGACGTCACGTAGTTGGAGCATTGGTGAGACTAAAGAGACAAGGGTTTACTTACAATAGAAATGTCTTTTTTATTAGGTGAATTTTATATAACGCTCATTTTAACCAACTTCTAAAAATCTTCGATAAATTTTTAACAAACGATTAATACCTGGCTTTCCTTGCGTTCAAACTCACACAAATTTATCGGCTGTTCTTCATAATATTCTTACCTTCAAGATCGATTGTGGTGTTGCAATATTGACTGCCTCTGATTTATTTACAGAAGAACCAGGAGTCATCTGTTTTAGCCAGATTGAAAAACAAAGTTTATGAAAAACTGTCACTGACTAAACTGATTTAAAATGAACGTGTAACCTGGTAACTGAGTGCTCTTCGTAGTACTTTATCCCAACACCCTACACCAAAATAGCTGTATTTGTAAATGCTACTGCCATTATATATTGATGGTTTGATTAGAACCCGTGTTTACAAAAAAACTACCTGACCACAAACAGAGCGGCCCCATGTCAACTTCTAAAACCTTTCAACAGCACACCAGCTCCCTAATCAACTGTATGCAGACTCCTCAATCGAAAACAAACCTCTCTGAACAGAACCGGACACAGAGGGATATTTCGTTAACTCCTTAAATTCTACGCATGGAGTGTCGCGCGTGAAATGACAGAAATTTTGAATGAATGAAACGGAAGCATGAAAGGCACAAGAACTCCCCAAAAGGGCTTTTCCTAAATACTGAAGGCTAACAATGGAATTAGGGAAACAGGCGAGGTTATCACGCTTCTGGTAAAGCTAATGAACTTACCGGCTGAACCTTGACAACAGGTGGCGTTGCTAACAGAGACAAGGCTTCAGCACCTGAGAAAAACTGCCGCCTGATAAAACAAACAGTGGATATCCACACAAAGAACATGAGCTAAGAAAAAAACTGACAGCTAACTCAACCTACTATTGAGCCCAGGGTCGCTCAGTAATGCAAAGTTTGATAGGGAACAGTTCTGGAACTCTAAACACAAAAAGGTTTTTGAACACAATCAAGAGCAATAATTCTCTGTACTTTTTACCATTTTAAAAGGTAATTTTCCCAAGAATACAAAATGTATCAGATTAATTAATATACATGCTTTTTTCAAGTGGTTAACAAAGTTTATTGATAGCGAGTCACAAAAAATACGCTGGAGATTCATATATTCAACAAAGTGATGCTGTGAATAAGATCTTGACTCGAGTTTAGAGTTTGCTTTCTACACACTACAATAGTATTAACAAGTGGTACTTTAATGATAACTTCCCTTGGAGTTTTTCAGTCACTACTTACAAGAAAAAAAATAAAAAATAAAGGTAATATAGCATATCAAAATTATTGTTTAGAAAGTAAATGGCCCTTCATTAAGTTTTAAAAAAGTCTTAGGAGAAACAGGCTGTTAAATTGTCATCTAAGTTGTTCCACATGTTAACAGCTCTGTGACTAAATGTTTGTTGACCAGTAGCCGTTTTAAACAGTGGTATTTCAAGAGTGTCACGCTTGCGGGTAGCATGCTTGTGCAAGGACTACAACGTATTTCCAGAACACTGTGGAAACAGAATTATCTCAAACGATTAACTGGTTATAGTAAAATGCTTGAATACCAGTATGAATCACGTAAACTAATAAGAAAATTACCTTCTCTTGTCCAAGAATGTTGGCGAGGCTACCTTCTTGGCAGAGGCCATTGGTGACTACAAACAACATACCAATAACAATTCAGCCTGCTAATCAACACTAAACACTACAAAGCTTCTGTTGCTTACAGCTCTCGTTCTATGTTGTTGCTAAACACATTGTAAGCACTTTTGTTTATGAAATCATTTCAAGTCTGTAGTATACTGTACTACAGTAGGTCTTTCAAGAAATGGTCACGATGTTCACGTTACTAGTAACAGGTGAAAATGTGCTATTATAGTATAAATTATACAATTACCAGTACATTCTCAGATGATGGTTTTGTTACAGATGCAAAAACAACTCCAACTTTGTTTGAGTCACTACAAAAAATGACAGAGGATTGTACAGAAGGATTACTACCAGTACCATTTTTAAGTTCAATGTACTTTATTTGACCAAAAACTCTTGACCGACTTACCTCAATCTACTCTTAGCTTTAGGTGTAACTGGAGTACAAACAAAAGGTTCAGCTTGTTGGAGTGCTCCGTCTGATTTTTCTGTCAATCTGCTTGACATCAAAGAAACAAAAGAAATCAACCATTGAAATCTAAATTCCACCATATACTTACAACAAATTAAGAATACATATACAAAGGAGTCTGATTAAATAACCATTATATCCATGTAAAAACTATTGGAGTGTGCTGTCCTTCGAAGAAGCTCTGAGCCATTGGGTGAAGCTCCAGGTTTTGATTTAAACACAGCGTCTTTAGTTCCTATTTTTTGTCTAAATTTTTCACAAGCTTTTAATCAGTAAAACAATAAAGATCAATGCAGGGCTCAAAATCATTTTCGGATGGTAACCGGACACGATGACCGGCCAAAGAAATTTTTGCTCGGTCAAGTCTCGTTTCTGACCGGTCAAAATATCGGGAATAAAAGTAAACTAATCCTTCTGTAAAATTCTATTTGTATTTTTACAAAGGGACAAAAGTCTAAGATTTACAGGTGAGGATTTGGCTGTTTGTTCAAGAATGAGAGTATGAAAGACCGGTCAACATGGCCGGCGAGTGAAGTTTTTGGCCAGTCACGTTGCCATTCTGGCCGGAAATTGTCCGTTGACCGACCGTTATCTTGAGTCCTGTATTCAATATAATGGATGTTCATGTTATCTGTGAAACCAAACCAGCCAGAGTGAAGCATGACACACCACGGACACATAGGATGGAACTAAGCACTTAGTGTCACCTTATTTCTTGAACTTTATCCATGGCTGAGTTCAGGATCACTGCACGAGACAATGGGCGCCCTGTGTCCACTTTGTGTACAACAGTTGACAGGGGTTTGGGTCGAGCAACTGTCAACACACACAAATAAAGTAACGCAACAACAATATTATATAATTAACAGTTGACGCTTGGAAATTTGTGGTTAATTAACTAGCAAAATAACAGAAACGATAAGTTACGCAATAGAGGTGACACGTGTTCTTAGGTTCTGTCCAGAAACCAGTACCAATTTTAAAAGACAATACTGAAAGCTATCTCACCGCTTTACATGAGGAAGAGTGTTAATTCTGACAAGGAGCTCAATTTTACAGCTAAGTAGATCTCATGCATATTATCTTTGTTCAGGAAAAGAGACGGATGAGACCTCAAATATGAGGAGAAGCAGAAAACAAACCTTCAGTTAAGCTTATGGCTTGCTGGGACAGACGCTTGTCAGGTCCAAATACAAGTTTGCGTTGAACTTTTGGCAAACATCTATAGTACGCATCAACCAGAGCATTTCTCACTTTGGCTTTCTCATCTTGCTGACTCTTCGAAATAACAAGAAAACATTACTCCCTTACTTGAATGCACAATACGTTACAATTGATGTCATTGAAAAAAAATATGCATTAAAAATACACACCGCATTTTCCTTTTTCAAAAGCTCGTTGAGCCTTATCCCCTCTACGTAACGACCTCTTTGAAGGTAATGCATTACAAGAAGTTCTTTAGATGATAAGGCAGATTCGTCCTGAAGAAATTTCACCAAGAATTCCTGCGGAGACACGAAAAACATGACAGTACACAAAGCCTTCAATTTCGTTCCATTGATCACCAGGAAAGACCATATGATTTCCTTCTAATGAGAGCAATTAAAATATCTACAACCTGCTTTGAATAATCACAGACCTCTTCAGCACAGTCTAGAGAAAGCTGTAACAATTTGTTCATGTTCTGAGCTGTTGGGAAAACCAAACCAAAAATAAAAACAAAAGCCTCTTATATCAGATCATTAAGTAACTTGCATTGAGTATTTATGCGATGAAAAGTTCGTCGCTGATGTTGAGTTCGGAACCCGTTTATTTTAAAACCAGCCAATTTTGCAAACATTTTGCCACTCAACGATGTAAGAATTTGCATACAATCAGAGACACTTCTAAAATGCTTAATGACTTGTGGACAAAGCTTATCCCATTAAATTTAGTGACCGTGTCGTGAATAACGTCCCAAAAATGTTTATACATCTATATTAAAAACTTACATTTAGATTTGATAAGAATGAACTTATTGAGCTTGCTTACTTTGCTGACAGCCCCTGAAAAAATGGTACAACAACTCTTTGCTTTTTGCCAGGTTTTGATGACGCTTCTGAAAAAAGAAAGGAGAAAAATGTGAAGTGAGTTCATGAGAATATGGTAAAACAAGTTTTAAGTATTAAAGGGTAAAAAATGTTTAGTCCGTGTCTCTGATGAGTCTCAAAAATTAGCTATAATTTCAAGAGTAAATTGTCACTTGCGACGATATAACAGAGAGCTTCAATTATTATTTTTTGAAACAAATGTACAACTTTACCTGAAATCTGAATGCCTCTGTGACTTTACTGAAGAAAAAAATCAAACACACAGAACAATTTTATTAAAAAGCGTTATGTAGGGTACAGCATAGAAACTGCGCCTATGGTTTTACGGATGTCATAACTGGAAATTTTAAACAAGTTGTGCATTTTTTGACAAAAACAAACCTTCAATTGGCGCTATGATTGAAGTTCAAAATAAGATTAATGTATATTCTCTTTTTTATTTTTTGATATTGCTTATCGGTTGTAGTTACTTGCCTACAAAGCAAGAGACTTGTCCTTGTCTTGTCTATAATAATGTGTAGGAGAACCAAGTGCTGAACAGTTAGAATCTGAACATAAACACAAACACTATAAAGTAACCTTACCCATTGGCTAACAAAACTGTGAGGTATAATCTCACTTCATTGAAGTCCTGCACAAGAGGATGTGTAATCTTCATAAAATATAAGGCTCTTTGTGACTCCCCTAAACAACATACATGCAATTTAATGTTTTTGTTAGTTTCATGACAGGGAAATGCTGGTCAATAGGGAAAGAAACCATAGCTTCGCTGGTCACTACTGTTACCTTGAGCAAGCAATGTCTTGATAATAAAGCTCCTTTGCCAGGTACCCACTTCAGTGTTTACCACCGGATCAACTAACACTGCTACTGCACTCTACAAGTGAAAATTACAATCCTTATACTACTACATGAGAAATTTTTGCAATTTAATTGGCTTAGAGCAGTGGTATTTCAGCTTAATTTGAAATACCTACATGTGAAAATTACAAACCTATTACGGGTAGTAGAATAAACAAATAATAGCAGGATTTGAATGTGATATTTGGTATAAATACCACTCGTGATACTTCAAAATTGTCTCAAATTACGTATAACAATTTTGAAATATCACTCGTGGTATTTATACCAAATATCACTACAAAACATGCTATTACCTATACAAACAGTAGTGCTTGCTTTGCAGTGAATGAGAGATCATCCCTTATCTTAAAAAGTTACTGAGGCAAACAAATAAAATAATAAATTATCAGCTTTCAAGCAAAGGAGCTTCACTTTAAAAGTAGCTGTACCTCAAAGTACTGGTGATCAAGAAGCCAAAATCCTTGTACAAGTCTTCTTAATCCCTCTGGCATGTTGAATTCTTCAGCAAATTTTGTTGTCACCTTGTTTAAGAAATCCAAATGTACCAATCAGGTTCAATCACATAATGATTTCCTATATGCAGTTTCAAACATAGCCTTCGTACATTGTAAAACTTGTGCTACAGTTTTGTGAACTGAAATGCATAGTATCCTCTTTCATGTACAAAGTCAAAATGAAACTAAATAAACATTTTGTTAATTTGCAAGTTGAGCCTTAAGAGGAAGAAAATGTGGTTTCAAAAAAGCCCTCTTTCTTTCTCAGGCTGTGACTAAATATGGTGATTAAAATCACCTTCTTAAAGGAAATAGTAGGTCCTACTGGAAAGTTCACACCATGAAGACAAACAAAACAGCCACATTCTTACTTCATTTCTTTCAAGTTCGGCATCCAGGAAACTCAAGTCAAGTAGCAAATAGCACACCTTTGTTATGTTAAGAGTTGACAACATTGTTTGAGAATATACCAACAATAAGTTCAATAATCAGCACATAGAGTGTACTTGCACACAGTGTACACAGTTTGTCTGTATGCACAAATCATAGCTTAGTTGATTTGTCATAATAGTTTAAATACTAACTCAAATATTAGACATACTATTGGATTTCTTTAAGGATACAATACAGTGCTTCAAAGAGGGATGGACTTTGTCAATTAAATACAGACTGCAGAGTCCCTGTAGAAACAAACAAAAATGATCACATCACATTACATAAAGAAAACAAGAAAAAGGAAATTCAAATACATGTCTAATGTGTTATACAGTAACACTTTATGGTGATTGGCCCAGCACTATTGACAATATTGAGACGTCCTGATACAGTACAGTGTAATGAATGCAACTTAATATACATTTACTATTAAAAATAGCTTATGACTCTACTTTAGCCTGCGAATGGCAGACGTTTCTCCTCACGCATCGCTGCTGAGAGACGTTTCGCGAGGAGGAACGTCTGCCACTTGGCGACAGAAATTCCATACTGATGACGCAAAATTGTGTGTGGAATCCAGTCAGAAGCGCTAACTGGTCGACGGAGTAGTTTCATTGTTCTAGCTATTGTTTACGAATGACAGACAAAAGACAAAAGGTGCCAAAGGTCAAATGTAAACGTGATGAAACTCTAACAAAACAGTCAATACTTTTGGAATATAGTCTTCTCTAGAAGAAGCATTTGAGTTTTGCTGGTGCTCATCCACAGATAAACGCAACACTTTTCCAAAATCGACCAGGAGAAACGCAAGATTGAACCAGTTTACATTTGGAACCCCATGACTACCGGATTTATTCTGTAAACATTGATTTACGTCATCAGTATGGAATTTCTGTCGCTGAGTCGCAGATGTTCCTCCTCGCGAAACATCCCTTAGTGGCGATTAGCAAGGAGAAACGTCTGCAGTTCGCAGGCTAATTCCACTTGTGTTTGGAACAATTTATCAAATAAAATACAAACAATGGAAGAGTTGGGTTATCTAAGTGCTAAAATACCCACATGCAAACTACTGGGTGGATATTGCTGAATTTCTGCCTTAGCAAACCACAGGCTCAATGCTTGGTTACCAAGCTGTGCCGTAAGTTTGTCTACCATAAGGCCCACAGATCCTGGCTCGCTGCGGCAAATACAAAAAAATGCTATTAACACTAATTAGAATGGGACAGACTGCAAATTGTTGCTGCCAGAAATATCAGTATGTTATAACTGTTCATGAGTTTGATACCTAAAATGTGCGCAATTCCACAATTATTATTGGTTTCAACTACAGTAACTACTGCAGCAAAAATTGGAAAACATTTTAAGAGGAACAACCTACGATGGCGCATGTGCACCCACACATATACATCTTACTGAAAGGATAAAAGATGTAAAGAAAGGGATGAAATCATATACGGTGTATGCTGAAGTCCATATGATGATAATTAACAATAATATTATTCTTTGATATCAAGGTGAATAGTGGCTATATATTTACCGAGCCGCAAAGTGGCAAGGTAAATATTCCTAAAGCCACTATTCACCAGGATTGAAAAGAATAATTGTTTTAGTATCTACACACGAAGTGATCGCAACAAAATCAGAGAGGAAACCATTAAAAAGTATGATTCGATTGATGGATCAAATCAGGTGAAAGTTTAAAAATAGATCTTTGCAGAATTTTCAAACAAAGCAATTCACAAGTTGATCACTTTGCAGACAACAGCGTAATGGCTTAAATGGAACCGTTAAAAGTTTGAGAAGAAAAGTAGAGCTTTGCTGTTTTCTGTTGACTCACCAAGTTTATAGCTAAAAGGGTTTGTTGTGTCGTTCTTCGCATGAAGTGCTGATAAAAATGGCGGCTCAGTTGCTCGAGGTAAGACGTTATCTTCCTGTAGTATTATTTTTCCTATTTACTTGAAACAAAGAATTTCTGCAAACATTTGCTTTCAAATTTGTTTGTCATAAAATATACTTCGATTTTGGGCCAAATTTTTCTTGTTAGGAAACACCAAGTTTATGAAACTTGTACGGAATAAATGGGAGTTGTAAACAATCCATCAAGCATAAAACTCAGCCACAGTAAATGAAAAAACGCCGTGTTGAATCCTTCGAAGTCTTTTCTTGCCTAGAAAAAAGTCAACCCTAGGATTTTGTCGACTTTTAAAAAGATCACTCTCTAAAAAAATGGGAAAAACACTGAACTCACACATTATCCACTCGCTAGGAGGTGAATATTGTTGAATTGTCTGAGATAGCGAACCAATTGGATTGCTTAAATCACCAAGATCACTGAGTGTGTATATACTAATAAATAATTATTCATCTTCTAATGCTTATGATTGTCAGAATATTGGGTGTAAACCATGCATTTTAATATTCTTCCCTACTGTGACTTGAGATTTATAAAACATTCCATCCAAACATCACCACATTCATGTCAGACAGTCCCTACTTTCCAACACAGTCTTGTAAAGATTTGTTAGAAACACATTGAAATGCATGAGAAATGGTGTCTTTTTGGTAACAGTTCATGTATCCCTGTTCCTTCAGTGATGTCATGAGATCCTTTAGTTCACTGGAGAGGTATTTTGGTTTTGTACAAGAGGAAACTAGTACGTGGCAAACCTAACAAACCACTAGACAGAGATCTTAGTGCCTGCACACATACTTCCATAAGTTTTCCAAGTCTGTTCTTCTGCTTTGACAAACACGAGTAAGAGATGCAGCAGGATAACAATGGCTTCTGAAATTATAAAAATAAATTATTCTTAATGCTTGGAAGTGAAACAGATGTAAAGTGTACTAGAGAGGAAGAAAAGCAATATTCTGAAGAGTTTTACTAAAACGTTAACTCACAGGATCCATACATGAACTATCTCTCATACACTTTTCTGTTCTAAAAATTATGAATAGTATCACTTATACTTACCTTTTTGTTGTTGGTGTCGAGCCCTCTGGAAAAAAAAAAAATGAATCACAATCTTACTTTTGAAAACAGCAATCAAGAATTAAATCAAGAAATCAAATAATGGGCTTTCAATAAACAAAATTGCTATTGATAGATTACTGAATCAATTTTAAATAAAGTTCATGTGAACTCACTAATAGTGATAATAATATTATTATCACACTAGGCATGTTTACCTGACTGTTCTGGTAACAATCCCTGACCAACAAGCCAAACAACAACTCTCAAATACTGCAAAAACACAATGAAAGAACAACACATTGCATGACCTTACCATTGCTTTACTAAAAATGCCATTTGACAAAGGTATCTTTAGGCAAGGGTGTGCACCAAACATTTGTATACAGCACACAACCAGAGTAAATCTTTGAATGGGTGAACAAGCTTCTTTACTGCTTCCAATTATTCGCTATCCTCTCAACTGATTGCAGAACAGAAGTGCCACATAAGCTAAAAACTAAAGGTTTAGCTAAAGTTTTTAAAGGTTTTGAGTTTTCCTCAAGATTGAACAAAGAAAAGCCAACCTACCAATGAAATAATACCAACAACATTGAATTTTTCTTCTAAATCTTTGAGACCTGAAAAAAGCAAAATCTTAAGCTGTATTTACATGTAACCAGTACAGTACAAAGTAAACAAAGTACAATAAAAACTAAAAAGTTATTTAGCAAAAATTTATATTTTGGTGAAAAAAAGGACCCCACAAGTGAACAGCAATTCTTCAGTTCAATTCATTCATTCACACTCAGGCCTACTATTAAGGCAGAATAATCCTTAAGAGCTGGAAACTATTCATAACTACAGTACCTTGTTGAGTAGTAGGCACTGACTGGGTTATCAGAGCTTGGAATATAGTTGTTAAGTGAGCCAGTTGTACTTTCTGATTGTCTAACATCAAAAGCATCTGGTCATCAGGGGTACCACCGCCACCATCAAATAGTGGAATGCCTTCAACAACAAAAAAAACACCAAAAATACTACTAGTAAGCTTGTCTTGATCCCTAAACCACTGCTAAATTTTAAAGCATACATTATGATAAATCAAGTCAAGGGAACCCTTGAAGCACAAACACGCATTCATTTAAAAAAAAAATACTTAGGTGTTGTACCATATACAGTAGTTATGTTAGTAACATTATGTAACTCCGAAGTTATTTTAAATGTGTCAAAGTCAATAGCTACACAATTTAAGAGTGTTAAGGTTCTTACAAAGTTGGTCTAAGTGATCTTTGATTTCCACAACACGGTCCCAAGCCCAATCCAATATCAACTTTAAACTGCAACCTGCATGACTCAAATCTGGAAGAAACAAACATTTTGCATGCTCAACTGCAAAAACACATATACAACATTTTACCATTTTCAAGAGGTCCCAGAATAAATTTTGAGTATGCACAGTTTAGGGCAAAATATAACGTAAATATACTTTCTCAGTTTACATCTGTACTGAATACTTACTTTTTACATGTACAGTCGCAGGTACATTTTGTAACAGTAAGTTTATAAATGTCATCCCATGGAAACACTGTTAGTAAATTCACTACTGGTGTCTTTGGTTATTCTTCCTGTTAATGTTTGAGTGATGACTGAAAATATTACATTCAGTTCATGATTCTGGGCAGTTTTGTTTTAAAGTTGCATGTTATAGAGCCTATTGCGAAGCTTTTAGTGATGGCTCCATTTCCAGGCATAGAAAGGAATCATGTACAGGAGTACTAAAAAGGTAAGAAAGGTAAGAATAGTAAATCACCACAGATTATGAAAATAACTGGAATTGGTAAGTCATCACAAGAAGAGTAAGAAAGAAAATATATTGACAACTTTAAAGAAATCTGAATTGAGACAATAGGTAAAGTAAATAAAAATCACGTAAATTCTAAAATTGAGGGATAGCTAATATTAATATTATTATTGAAGGTTACCTATTACAGTAGTTATGGACATTATGTATCTACCATGTTTGGCATACAATGGATGTGGAGAAAAAATTGCATTGTTCTTACTTCCGACTCCAAGTTTCTGTATACAAGATATTATTAATGTCAACAAGCCATGTTCTAAGGCAACTGAAAAGACAGCATCAATGTGAAACTGCAAAAAATGAATTAGACAATAGAAATGTAACCCACAACAATGGTCATTTTCAATATCAATACAATATTAGCGAAAAATACAACACTAATCCAAAAAATTGTCACATTTGAAATGAAAAAGGCAGAAACACAGTACTCACAGATCTTTCTTTGGAAAGATCAAAATTCCTTGGAAGAAGTCCAGCAACATAGCACATATTGAAATACTCATGAGCATCAGAGAGACAGCTCACTCCTAGTTTGCTCATGTTAGCAAGAATCTAAAACATCACAAAGACAATAATCATTACCAACAACAATGGTTATATACTTACAATTTATTATTATTATTAAGTATTATCTACCCAAGCTGACACATCAAAATGAAGATGGCCTCAATTTTATTTTCTATATTTATTATACAGTCAAACCTCCAAAGCGACCACCCAAAATGCAAAGGCTTGGTAGTCGCTTATGGGAGGTGGTTGCTTATGAGAGTCAGACCACAAGGGCAGAGTTTTTAAAATTCAACCTAGCATGGAATGGCATATTAATTTATTCTAAAAAATATTGAAAGCTTACTTTCCCCTGCCAAATATTGGTAGTATTATTGACAAAATGATTAGCTATTCTATGTGACAGTTCATTTATGGAAGTGGAATTAATTAGATAATGCACGTTTTAAATTTGTGGTAAAAAAATTTTACTTAGTGCAGAAATGCCTCTAGAACGTGTGACAAAAACTTAACTTCTTAAACTGAAACCTGGAAATCTGAGTCTTTTTCTCAAGAGAAATGGTTAGTATTGTAGATATACCAACGTAGATCAAACTAATAAACACAGTAATAGATGCATAGACAATAATGACAGCCAAAGAATAAATTCCTTTTTAAATTCCTTTTTATTTCACTGTTTAGTAAGACCATGTGTCAAATGGTTGCTTACTGAAGGTTGCAAACAAAAGAAAATTCTTAAACTGTCAGCCAAAAAAATGGTCGTGGTCACTTAACGGAGGTGGTCGTTTACAAGAGGTTCCAGTATAAGGTTTTGACTGAGAACATTATTTTTTGGTGTTTTAGGAAGGTGAACGCTTATGGGAGGTGGTCGCCTACAGGAGAACTGTATTTTCTCAACCAAAAATAGTTACCTGACGTTGGACTCCTAGGAACTTTGAATGAACTACTCCAGTTTCCATTAAGCAACATGTATCTAAAATAGTGAACATAATAAGATGTTAGACAACTCAAACAGGAAAAAAATAACATAAATTAACAGTTCTTACCAAACTTGACAGATGATGGCCAGAGGTGCTGCTCCAGTGTTGACCCAGCAACTGACATGAAGCTGGAAAGAGATTTGACTTCCACAAAGATATCCTTGAAATAAAAAAAAAACACATAGAGTTACAACAAAATTTACAGTAATTTGTAAGAGTCTCCTATAATACTATTATCACATGCAATACTACTATAATATTTTTCATTTAAAACTGCAGAATATCTCTAGTATCAATTATATTATTTGTTACACAGTTCCAGGTACACTCAAATGGTATTGTTTTAAGGAAGGTATATGAGCATAACGTCTCTGGTATGGTTGCCTAGCTAGAGTAGCTTAGGGAAATTACTAGTAAATAGTTCATTTAGTAAACTAAAATGATAACAATAACGAAAAAATTCTGAATCATTTCTGTGCACAGTTCAGGTGGCAGCAAGCCAACATGAGTCTTACAAATTGTGTACAAAGCTGTTATTTGTTTCACTCTGCTAAAAAACCTACCACTATTCCATCAGGTGATGCAGCATCTAAAATGTCCGCCAGAGAGAAGAAAGCAAAGAAAGGGCAAGTGGGATCTTTACTGCCAAACATGGCATCTCTGAAAATTCATAAAGCAAACAAACAAAAAACAAATGACAATGTCATAATGTTTAGTCCCAAACCATACACCTACTTTAACTCACGTTCTACATTACAAACCAGTATTTCACTTGTATAATCCACTTAACCGGTGTAGCTATTAAAAACAATGTTACTTGTTAGTTGTTACTTCAGTACATTAACAACTTCTTGGCAATCATCAGAACGAAAAACTAGCCAAAACATCAAACTTTGAAAGTTGGGCTCTCCATGTTTGATAATGAGTAACGATCAACAAGAGCCCTTACAAAAAAGGTAATAAGTCTCTTCAGAAGTGCCTGTACAAAGTATATTTATGATGTAATCGTTATCTTTAGAGTTTTCCTATCATAATGGTTACTCAGGTTATTAGTGGCAACCCTTACCTAATGGAAGGTGGCATTTGAGAATGATACCAACAGTTAATATCAAAAATACCAAGATGACATGTGGGCTTGGAATGCAGATCATGAGATGGTGCCTCCCAAACACACACAGCTAAAGTAAGATCCCTCACATGATCAACTGTAAGATAGTAGCACAGGAGTGTTAGTTTTGATAGTGTTTTAGATTTCCCAGACAAGCTAGGCAAGAAAGTAATAACATGACAAATTGTGCAAATGTACAAGGGAGATGTATCCATAAAGCCGTTTATGGACAGTTGAGGTGTACATGTGTCACCAGACATCGGACACCAATAATTTTTGAAGGTTCAACTTTGATGATGATAGTCACTGCAAACATTCCCTTGTTTGAATAAAATGTTCCATTATATATATTAAATACACAAAGAAAATGATAACGTCAAACCTATCATCTTAATTGAGACTCATGCACGGTACAACTGTAGCGAGCCAAATACACACCTTCATCCATTCTTGGGCTGTCATTTGAGCTGCCATCTTTTTCTGCAACAAAAAGAAGCATTGAATGAGGTTTCTTAATGTTGTTGTTACTCTCCTGGTTAGTTTAACAAAAAAAGCAAAAGTATCAGCAACCCTACTTTGATCATGTTATTCATTTACTAGAATTAGGCAAATTTATGTATTACTATAAACACTCACTTTTACCCATTAGGATTAGAAATGCTGATGCTTTTAAGTTACTCTTCTGTAGAACAAACACTAGACAATTTTCTGTAAGTTACCAGGGTCCTAAATACTTTAATTCCTTATAGATAATGACATTTGTAACTCAATCTCTCTTTCTTTCTTTAAAATCAATCTGAAAAATTATATTGTTAACAGCTATTAGTCAAGAAGAATTGAATAGTTTCTTTATAATAGAAGTTTACCTGTCCTCTGATTACAATATTTGTCGTTTGTAATATATGTTTGCCGTAATTTTAGTATTTATTAATTTACACACGGATCGTTACTTGTTTACTACTCTTTTGAAATTAATTGTCATAGCTGTACATGTGTAGCCATCAGGAGTTAATTGTAATCGAGGAAGCCTCACGTTATAAGCCTTGTGGTTTCTATTTAGGGCTTCCTTGCCACTTTTTTTCTATAGTGTATTTTTTCTTTCTTTCTTTGTACACTTCACATGGCAAAAATAAATAAATAAATATAATAAAAATGAAAAAACACACTCAATGTCCCCATCAACTCCCTAAATTTATCATGCAACTTTGCTTGCTCAAATATTTTGTCGAGTGCTACAGATAGCTGTTTAAGTTACTGCCAGTCTAATTTACTCTTAATCATTTTTTCGGTCTAAGATATTTGTAGCATCAGCTTTAATAGAGTACTTAAGTGATGACTTCAAAAAAATGAAATTTCTGAAATTATGGGATTTGTCAGGATACTCTGAAAGAACAATGTCCAAGAGGCCTACTTACCAAAAATGAGCATTTCGGGGCAAATTGTCCCTGAGATGTTAGCTGGTTATACTCAGAAAACTCCATACAAACCCTTCTAATTTTTTTGGGGTCGACCCAAAACAATTTAGAAGGGTTTGTATGGAGTTTTCTAAGCATAACTGGGCTGCGATCTCAGAGACAATTTGTCCCAAAATGCTCATTTTTGGCAAGTAGGTCTCTTGGACGTTGTTCTTTCAGAATATCCTGACAAATCCCATAATTTCAGAAATTTCATTTTTATGACGTCACACTTAAGTACTCTATTGGTTTTGAATTTAATAACAGTGAGTTTAGATGGAGAACAATCAGAGGTGCAACAAGACTGTCAGGTCTCCTTGATAAGATGACACAAACAGACCACTTATTAAAATAATATTGTGCCAAAAAAAGAAACAACACAGCAGTCTGATCACCTAATGTATAGCAGCAAATAATTTTGCTTCCAACAGAGGTTGCATCAACTAGATGATGAGCATCAGCAGTTAGTTGATGTTCAAATCTACGACCAACACCACTCAGTTCCTGGTGGGAAAAAACTAATATTGGTTAATTATAATTATGAAGTAAGGTTGTAATACATGTACAGTTGACTTCCGATAACTCAAACCCTCACAAACTCAAACAAAAATCGAATTCCCCTGGATTTCCGTCATAAATTTACTGTAATTTTACCCTTGGTAACTCGAACCCTCGATAACTCGAACCTCTTGCTAACTCGAAGTCATTTATGTTTCCCCTCAGATCATTTATATATAATTTTACACTTGATAGCTCGAACCATGTTTTGAGCCCTTCAAAAGTCGGGAAAAAAACAGTGTACTGGCATCCGAAACATTGAATTTTGAGTTTCCCATTGACGTCTTGTATGCATATAGTTTCCTACTGGAGGCTGATGTTGTTTGTCGCAAATTTATGTGAAACTGCTTTACTTCTCAAAACAGTAAAACCCATGCTCTATTTAGGCAATGTTTTGTTACTGCATTACATTCTGATTTATAATCTAGAAGTATCTGTGGAAGGTGGGTGCCTGGGATATCCAGGGGCTTCCACTGTGGACTGCCAGCCCCTAGATAGAATACTGCCCCTATGGCTGGTAAATCCCTGCAACCCAGCCATGAGCCCCCATTCCAAGCACCCGTCATAATGATGAAACAGTGGAAGGAACAAAAATAAGGGATGGGAGGGGGGAAGATGCTAAATGAACCTCTCCACAGACCACTGCACAAATGCCCAACAAGGAACTGTCAGATCCTAGCAGTGTACAAATCTACCACGAACCATGTGAGCCTGCACTTATGGGATTGACCACTGGATGCCCGCTAAGGTCGTGGCAGAGTGTCTAATTTATAGAAAATTGGCATTTATCGAATATTAAAAAAAACATTTTTGAATTCATGACTTGCCTCTGTTACATTTACTTAAATTCCACTTGTAAACCAATAAACTTAAAGGTCTGCACATTTAACATTATTTTATTGGATTTGGAACAAACTTGGAGTTTTTACAAATGTAAAAGGAAAGAACCTTTCCTGCTATCTTACCTTGTAAACAATTCCATACCCTGGGAGCATATCTCTGGAGGCAAAAACCAGTTGGTATAAAGTAAGAGTAGCGGGTGTCTCTGGGCAGTTCTCGGGGACAAGAGGGCCTCGGGCAACCCACAAGTAGCAGCAGTAGCGTGGGTCATTCTCTGGCTCCTATTAATAGTAATAATACCAGCCTTTAATATTAGTTCTACCATCAAGAATGTACATTATCATAAGTGCAAAAGCTAATGGAGCTGAGCAAATGAATGAAACAATAAACTAAAAATAATCATACAAAGTTTAAATTAGAAATGAAGCAGTTGCTTATTTACAAGTACGAGAAAGGAGTTGAACTGCCTTGTTGTTACTGAGAAACAAATCAAGCCAGTGGCCTGAGAAAACAGCTGACATTTTGTGACAACACCTCTAATTTCCCCACAAAATGAGATACAAGAAAAGGCACATATCAAATTCTGTATGGATGACGCATCACTTCCAAGATCTGGGTAATGCTTCTGATTGGTTGAAGCAAATTTCGTCCACAACAAGGCAATCAGAATCACTACCCAGATCTGGGCAGTGACATGTCATCAGTATGGAATTTCTGCGCTCGTTTCGCAGATATCATATCACAGAGAAACCAGTCATGGCATCGCAAAATGTACCTGTTTTCTCAGGTTAATCTCCTTTGCAGAGTGGGATTTGAACCCAGAACATTAAACCAGGAGATATTATTCTAAACAAAATACATGTAGAGATTTAGCTTATGACATTTTTTGTTATTACTGAAAGTGTTAAATGTTATTTCCTTACCTGGTACATGAAGTGCGTCACTGCTGAACAGTACTGATCAATCTGACTGCTGTACCTGAACACAAAAGAATCATCTTTATTAGAAAGACTCACAATAATATTATTATTTCTTCATGCATGTCGTCCTTCTACATAGTTTCTATGAAAAACTGCAATGAAAATGAACTGTTAGCTAAAGAAATATCAAGTGGTCTAACATAGTTTATTAACATGGCAAGACTTACACATGCGTGAGGGTTTCCATATTCCACATCTGAAAGCAAGCAAAGTTGAATCCTACTATCAAGGAGCTTGTCTGCCTAATATACTTGACAGCAGTCACAAACACTTCACCTGCATGTCCAAAACAGAAAATTAAACCCAAAATTAATGGCAGTGCATTCAGACCTGTTTGAATTCAGCTGATGGGTGAAACCAGACATCAGTTGCTACTGCCAACACAATTTCATACAATACAATATTCAAGATCTCAAGCTTGGGTACTCAAATGTGTTGTGCTGAAAAGGAATATTTCCATCTACAAAAGAAGTCCTTGGGCCACCTGCATGTTGCCAGAGATAAAACACTATTACATAGAGTCATTTAACTGCACAACAGAATGAACAGGTAAATTTTTTGCAACAACCCTTTTGTTTCTACTCAAGCCATTCCATGCAAAAGACACTACCTCTTGAAACCCAAGTGATTTTTCCTCTACTGTGCTTACAAACACTTTGACTATGTAATTCTGTTCTAACTTATCTTGAAAAGCAGAGAAAATTCTTATGACCTGAAAAAGGATATGCATAAACAACAAACATAATAATCTATTACCTGAAGAAAAACTCTTCATCTCAGTAAAGTCACACTTAACATAAGAAAAGCGTCCAAAAACATGACAAAAACCTGGAAATATAAATGCAAGACAACGGTGGCAAAAAAAATTCTACAGTTTGAACCCCTCCACAATGGCCACCTTAGAGACAGAAGAAAGTGGCTGTTGTGGCCATTATGGGGATGAAGAAGTGTAATACAATCTAACCTCTCCTTACGGACACCTCTTTATTACGGTCAGTTCGCTTGGTCCCAGAAATGCCAAAAATCATACATTCCCTACCTCTATAATGAGGACACCTCTGTAAAGCGGACACTTGGTTCGGTCCCATTGGTGCTATATTAAAGAGGTTTGACTGTATGACCAAATTTTTTTAGGGAGAACAACATGTTTATTGTGCTATGTTTATGTTTACTGTATCTCCTAATGATACATGTAATCCAATCATATGTAATATATGGAAGTAAAATACACAAAAAAGTAAAAACGTTAACATGGCTAAACGAGCAATGTTCGCAACATTTGCTATAAGTATCAAAGACCAGTTATGCTTACTGCAGCAGTACAAATGGAACACAATCAAAATACGATTGCCGCGATTAATCATCAAGGTGCCATACAAATCAACTTTCATGACCATTCTTGACTTTTTCATCAGTCCATGAAAAAAGTGGCCATTGTTGAGAGGTAATTTTGGCAGTTGCGGATGTGATTTAGTGGCCATTGCCATTGTAGAGAGGTCTAAACAAGAATCAATGTATGGACTGTCCCCCAGGACAAAAAAAGTGGCCAATGTAGAGGGGTGGCCATTGTGGAGAGGTAGCTGTTACTGGAGGTTTAACTGTATTAACGAGCAAGCCAGGGAACAAAGACAAAACACTGATGTCTGACAAATAAAACCTAATAAGAGGCACAGGAATTCAGTGCAATAATTAGCAATCATTGAATGAGGCTGAGTATCATCTGAAGAATTATGGAGATCAAGGAGGATGTTATCCCCCGTGCTGCTGCTACTTGGGGGAATGACATCAGCTTGAAAGAAAACTTGCCTGGTGACAGAAGGGAAAAAAGTGTGCTATGAAAAAAACAAAAAAAGGCAGCATACTTCCTATCTCAATTGCTAAATGAGTGCCATTTGTCCTTGCAGAGTTCCTCAGCTGTGGCATATCATGTGATAAAGGATTTACCAATTCAACAGGGCTTGCATGCCACTCATCAAACTCTTCTCCTTCATCATCAAGACGAAGATCTACCAAGTAACAGTGTCCTTGTTCTGTACCAACTGCTGCTATTCCAAAAAACAGCTTCAGCTGCTGACTGCAAGAATAAAGCACTTTGAGATTACTTTATTACTTATCTTTATACGTAATTGTACATCATCAATCTAACTTAGATACTGTACAATATAAGTATTGTGTAAGTCTTAGCTTCTAACTTGTTGGAAAGATTTCTATACAGCTCCATATCGTTTAGCTAGATGAACAATACCTTTAATGACAGCCCCATACATTAACATATTTTGACTCTACTAATTGCGGGTGACTAGAGGAACCTGCAACCTTAATCTCTAGGTTGTCATTTCACATGTGTGGCACATATCTACCTAGCTTTCACTTGGACTTCCACTAACAATGAATGGAATACACAGAATGCAATCTCGTGACGCAAGTTTGAACCCTTCATCACTGGTAATCTGATCAAGTGTACTTTGACCCTCTATCATATGAAACTAAGGAAAAGTACAGCATTACAGCAAGAGCATTTTAACCTTCAGCGTGCAAAGAAAGTAGTGTCCGATAGCCCGGGGCT